CGAATCGCTCGGAGGCCTCCATGGGCTGCTGGCAGCACGAGAGGAAGGAGAGTTAGCCACTGGAGTCCACCCGACACCCGCTGCGGCATCATCTCAGCGTACTGCGCTACATGCTCAGGGTCCACGTACCCGGGGGCGGGCTTGGCTGGAAAGACGGGCCTCCCGATTCGGATGCACCTGAACCTGCTGGTGCCGCTGGTACTGCCATCGCCGCCAAGGCCTGGTTCAATTGCGAGCCCAAAACGCGTGCCAAGATCTCGCCCTGGCGCTTGAACTCGGTGTCGCGGGACTCCTGCTCTATCCATTGCTGGAAGCGAGAGAATTGCGGGCTGCGTTTGGCGACGAGGCGCTCAGCACGGCAAACCTCCTCCTCAGAGTCGGGCGAATCTTCGCGGCGGCGGTGGTCCCTGTCACGATCACGCTCTTCAAGGCCACGATCGTCACGGTTTCCACGACGGTCACCGTCGCGGTCGCCCCAACCACGAGTGTGCACATAGGAGAGACCACCGTAACCCTTGCAATAGCCAGATCCTTTGCCCTTGCCGCCGTCGCCTTTGCTGCCGTTGCCCATCACTTGATGCCCACTTTGTGCGCGATTAGTGAACCGAACTTGGGATAACCACAACCTCCGAGCACCGAGCACAGATGGCGACGGAGGCAGTGACAGCACGAACTTGGTGATAAACGGCATGGGATAACCACGCTTCAGCATTTCCAGTGCATACTCGAGGATGATGATAACCATGAGAGCCCGAGACAAGCCTGACGACCGAGCGGAAGCCAGTTTGCCAAGACGAGGTGCTCGAACACGTGCGAACGAATATGGTAGACGACCAAGCCAGGGAATAATAACACTGATCGGAAGAGGCCCCCAGGATCCACAACCGCTGTTGGTTCTTAAGAGTCCAGCTTAGTGATATCTCGCGTACAGACGAAATTTTAAATTCACCCATCCAAAGACTTGGCCATCTGGGGATGAGGATCCAGACGGATACCGAGTCGGACGCCCTGACGACTGAAAGACGACAGATGCAGGCTCTGAAACATGTTTTCCACACATACTTTCATGCAGCTTGGGCAATTGCAGAGACTAAAGGACATCACGTCGTCGACATACCTACGCAATTTCAGAGCGGCCTCTAGAGGAGGATCTGAGCGAAACCCAAGATTCGCTAACGTCACACCATTCTCCATCATCAGAGACTCCTCGTGCGCAAAACGAACGGATACGGCGGCACTACTAATAGAGTCCCCGACACACAATCCCAGAAGCTCAAAGACCAGGTTCCCCACGGTCACGAAACTGCACGCAAGGCCAGCTAGAAGGGCCCTCCGTAAAACCATAAGGGGGTTCCCCCTGAATTGATCTCCGTTCTGGTCAATATTCAAAAAGCGTTCGCCGCCGCACCGTCGGCTTTGCTTGGCTGGCGCGGCGTATCCATGTATCTACATCTATCCCCCCAGGCGCCGTCGCACCGATACGTCTGCGCATCTTCTGTCCGTCTATCTGCCCATCCCCCGGGCGCCGTCGCACCCTCGGCGCGGCTTGACTGGCGGGGGGCGTCTATCCATTGGTGGCGGCCCATTTCTTCCAGTTACCCAAACGGAGGGGAATGGAAATGCTGCTAAGACCTGCCAAGGTTTACATGGCCGCCTCTTGGGCCTCGAGAATGAATATTTACATTGGGGTTTGATCATTGAGTTTTCAACTTAACATGGCCTCCGATTGTCTAAAACCAATACAGGATGCATCGCGCGCGCGCGCGGGTGACCCGGCCCCGCGCGGGTCACCAGCGCGCCCGCGCTCGCCTCGCATATTGTATTGTGTTTTCTATATTTGACGTTGGCATGGCCGCCTCTTGGGCCCAGAGAATGAATATTTACATTGGGTTTTGATCATTGAGTTTTCACTTAACATGGCCTCCGATTGTATAAAACCAATACAGGAGGCATCGCGCGCGCGCGCGGGTGACCCGGCACCGCGCGGGTCACCAGCGCGCCCGCGCGCCTCGCATATTGCATTGTGTTTTCTATATTTGACGTTGGCATGGCCGCCTCTTGGGCCCAGAGAATGAATATTTACATTGGGTTTTGATCATTGAGTTTTCAACTTAACATGGCCTCCGATTGTATAAAACCAATACAGGAGGCATCGCGCGCGCGCGCGGGTGACCCGGCGCCGCGCGGGTCACCAGCGCGCCCGCGCGCTTCGCATATAGTATTGGTTTGTATATTTTCCACAATCATATGGCCGCCTTTTGGGCCCAGAGAATGGATTTTTACATTGGGTTTGGACAATTGAGTTTTCACCTTAACATGGCCTCCGATTGTATAAAACCAACGCAGGATGCATCGCGCGCGCGCGCGCGGATGACGCGGCCCCGCGCGGGTCGCCAGCGCGCCCGCGCTCGCTTCGCCCATTGCATTTTTTTTTTTTTTTGACGTTGGCATGGCCGCCTCTTGGGCCCAGAGAATGAATATTTACATTGGGTTCTGATCA